CCTGTTTGATATGGTGGTTCCGATGAAGTTCACTCATTATTACAGGTTAGAGCTGAGCAATTATTAAAGCTTTGTGTTCTTATCAGTATTTATGGAACGTGTTGATGAACTCGTTCTGTTCTTCACAGTGTTACCAAACATCGTCCTAGCTCCAATTGTCTGATCGAATGGGCAGATCAACATTTGTAATTTAAAATCCCACTCATCTTTATTGTATTAACTCATAATCTGCAACTGCTGATTCTTGAGTTGTTTCGCAATTGAAAACTGAAAGGTGTGGATGTCGGAAAAAAGAAAACAGATCTCTAATAAATTTTATTGAAGTGAACAGAAGTAATTTTTCATAAAAGTAACAGTTAATAATACAATAAAGATGAGTGGGATTTCAAATTACAAATGTTGATTTTTCCATTCGTTCATACCATTGGAGGCACTGGTGGCATGATGCCTGTTGGATCCAGCCTTCTCCTAAAACACATCCTTCAGATGATAGTTTCGAAAAGCACAAACCTGGAGAAATCCAGTAAATTGTTCTTGATTAACAAGGAACTGGCCAAAGAGTTGTGAAGCCTGTGAATATCATAGTTAAACTTGGGGAAAGAAGAAAATAGATACCTCCTTGTAGCCTTGTCCGGAGAGCCTCTCTTCTGTGCGTGGGCCGATACCAGGAACGGCAGAAGTTTTTTTGTCGCCCATGGGCTCACTGACGAATTCACGATGCTTTTTAGAAGTAGACATTCTATAAAAAGCATATACTTAAACATAAGAATCAAAAGCAGAAGCTAACAAACAAGAAGAGCACAAAATAATAACATTAAAGACTAAAGCCTGGCATGTTTTAAGATGATTTTTTTTGGCGACCTTGTGGGCAGAAACTCTAGTGGGAAGATTGGCTTTGTGTTCTCATCACTACTTATATAACGTGTTGATCAACTCATTCTGTACTTATTTGGATAATTAAAGCTGCAAGCTCTGTGTTCATATCAGTGCTTATAAAACGTGTTGATCAACTCATTCTGTAATTGTTTAAATAATTAAAGCTAAAAGCGTTGTTTTTATCAGTATTTGTAGAACGTGTTGATCAACTCGTTCTGTTCTTCACACTGTTACCAGACATGTTGTGTCTGTTCTTCACACTGTTACCAAACATCTGTTGTGTCTGTTTTCAGACTAAAAGCTGCTCTTCCCTGTGAAAGTTTTCTCTCCTGATAAGCGTCTCCAAGGAATGCACGATGAACTAAGGTAGATCAGAAGTTCACTTTTTCTTTGCAACGGTCATCTTCTGTTTAGAATTCTGTTTTATGCATCTGTACTTAACGTAGCAGCCGA